GCTTGAAATTCCATGTTATAAACACTCGAAACCCATCTAGAATCACAGTTTGCCTTAAATTTCATGTTATAAACACGGTGTACAAGTGAGTAGGCAAATTAGAAATTTGCCTACTTTAATGATGAGGACGTCATGTGCAAATTTCTAATTTGCACACTTTACTTTACTTTTCTTTCTAATTATATATTATATTGTTCTTCAGTTTTTCAATCCAAATTTCATATATAATTCATAAAAAAATGATTAATTAGTTCTTGAGTTATAGACATTTGAAATTTTTGGAAATCATTATTAAAGAAAATTTGCGATAGTTATAGCAACCACAGACATGTCTAAAAAAAAATTAAAAATTAAAACAATCTTTTACCGGTCATCGCCATATTCAAGAGGTATGCCTCTACCTATGTGTATTCAAACTTTTGCTTCTACAAGTGTGTACATTTCTTCATTACATTGTGTACCATCACTTCTGAAACACCCTGTATAATGAAAAAGAGGGGCCTCTACCTATGTTTATTAGGACTTTGTGCTTATACCAATGTGTACATTTTACCAGTATATTTTGTAACATCACTTTTGAAACACCCAGTATAATGAAAAAGTGTTCATGTACGGATTTCGTGAAATTTCAAACATCTATAACTCAAGAACTAAAAAGAATAATAGAATTAGAAATAGCACGATATCTCAAAATTGCAAAAGTTAGAGCAACCACAGACATTTCTCGAAAAATTCAAGATTTTTTCAAAAAGAAACCCATTTACCGATTATCGCAAAAATCAATACCAACCTTCCTTTAGTGATTCTCGACATTTAAAAAAAAGCTCGATATCTCAAAATTTACAGAAGTTAGAGCAACCACGGACATTCAAATGCGTACATACACACATACACACACACACACACACACACACACACACACACACACACACACACACACACACACACATACAGACATTTTGTAAAAATATGATTTTTAGACGTTTTAAAACATTTTAAACATATTGCCAAAGAAAACTGAAAAAATTTTTTTCACGAAAACAAAGCTTTCTTTATGAGGAAGCAAAAGGGAGTAAAGGAGGAACTAAAGAGATGGAAAAGGCAAGTGGGGGAGGGAGAGGAGTATAGAGAACGAACGAGAGAATAAAAGAGAATATGTGAAGAAAAAAAGGAGGGAAAGGGAGATAGAGGGGGTGAGAACGGAGAGACAGGTGTGGGAAGTGGTGAGAAGAGAAAGAGAAGGGAGAAAGGGGATAGAGAAAGGAATTAAAATGGAGGAGTGGGAGGAGTATTTTAAAGAGATATTAGGAGGTGTAGAATGGAGAGTGAGAGAAGGAGAGAGGAAAAGGGAGAGGAAAGACGATGAAGAAGAAATATGCAGGGAGGAGGTGGAGGGGGTGATAAAGGGATTGAAAGACAGAAAAGCGGCAGGAGATGGGGTAGCGAATGAAGTGTGGAAATATGGAGGGGAAGAGGTGAGGAGATGGATATGGGAAATATGTAACAGAGTATGGAGGGGGGAGGGATGGCCGGTGGATTGAAGGGAGGGAGTGGTAGTATGGAACCAGTATGGAAAAAAGGAAAAGGAAAGAAGGTAGAGGATTACAGGGGGGTAACGCTAACGCAGACAGCGTATAAAATAGTAAAAAACTTACCTTTTTTAAAAAAGGTAAAGAAGCACCAAGTATAAGCTCCAATTCCACCGAATATATTTTGTTACTCTATCATTTTTGCAAAAGTATATTCTCTATAAAAATATCTTCTCCACAAAACATCTTCTCTACAAAAGTAATGATACCAACAAATTGCGCCAAATATAACAACGGATATTTATACAAACTAGTTGCTTTAGTATTAGTTTTTGATTAAAAAATGTTATATTTCTTAAAAATCAAACTAAAGATTTTATTGAAAAAAATACTGGAGTTAATAATAAAACCCCGATGAAAAGAATAGCAACTGTTTAGAAATTTAGAAACTCTGTATCTATTCAGGCGAATTAAGGCTTGTGTCCATAACGCTAGTACTTGGTCCAGGTTCTCATTCCGCGAAATATGTAGCCAATCAATGTAGCTGTCCCACAAAAGCTGTAAGTTGATTGGCTACGCAATTCTCAAAACTAGAACTTGGACCAAGTACTAGCGTCATGGACACAAGCCTAAAGTCGGCTGAATAGATACAGAGTTTCTAAATTTCTAAACAGTTGCTATTCTTTTCATCGGTGTTTTATTATTAACTCCATTATTTTTTCCAATAAAATCTTTAGTTTGATTTTATAAGAAATATAACATTTTTTAATAAAAAACTAATACTAAAGCAACTAGTTTGTATAAATATCCGTTGTTATATTTGGCGCAATTTGTTGGTCTCATTACTTTTGTAGAGAAGATATTTTTATAGAAAATATACTTTTGCAAAAATGATAGAGTAACAAAATATATTCGGTGGAATTGGAGCTTATACTTGGTGCTTTTTTACCTTTTTTTAAAAAAGGTAAGTTTTTTACGTGATATCACACCTTTTGTAGTGTGTAATATCACATAATGTACCCTTTACTTGGCACAAAATTCGACATTTTTAGAATAATATTATCACAACCCCGGTGGTCGAGCTGGTACTCTTTACTTGGCACAAAACTCGACATTTTTAGAACTAAAAAAACGCTGTTTGCACTGTGGCGAAATAACATACATACACTGAAGTCCAAGCTTACCGATAGTACTTCTTTGTAGATGCATTACCATCTGAAGTTGCATGCTCATAGTCCTGGAAATACAGTCTGTTACGAAACAGCGAGAACTTATTCAAGGGAGTGGCACCCGTTTGGCCACGTTAATATTGACCACAGTCCCGATTGACCACGTTAATATCGACCATGTTGTGTATGACCACGTTGATATTGACCACGTTGCACTTGACCTCGGTCCCGATTGACCACGGTCCCGATTGACCACGTTGCAATTGACCACGGTCCACGCTTCCTACCGGCCGGGTCGGTGCGGGGAGGGGGACCGAAGGCCCCCCTCGCACGCCCCCCCCCGCGCGTGTGTGTGTGCTTTTAGCTCGTGGTCAAACTGGACAGTGGTCAATTGCAACGTGGTCAATCGGGATCGTGGTCAATTGCAACGTGGCCAATCAGGACCGTGGTCAATTGCGACGTGGTCAATCGGGACCGTGGTCAATTGCAACGTGGCCAATTGGGACCGTGGTCAAGTGCA